GCCCCCATTATGATTTTCGCGGCATTGTCACGGTGTCGAATCTGTCTACAAATAACCACTAGAGAAATGGTTACACACTGTCGATACTCTCCGCTCTCCTCGATCTCTGCTCGTCTTTTTTCCACCACAAACGTCGCGTCGCCTCTCTCTCTCTGTATAGCTTCGTTTCTCTTCTCTTTTTTCCACTGTCGACGCCGTCTATATTCCCCGCTTCACCCCTCGCCCGCGCTCATTCTGGCCCTCCGCCATTCAGAGTGGACTACATTATTTTGTTGTAAGGCCCCGACCACACCGTATTATCCTAACATCTAAATCCGGACAGCTGGATGTCTATCAGAGTCTCTCAACTAGAGCGAGCCGGGTTGCTAATAGAGCACGCTTTCCACTTTATTTATCTGTTGGACGATAAAGCTGTGACCAGTGGAGGTTGCAGTTCGATCGTTCGACAGCGATAGCGAAAGAGGATTTTTACGTGAATTCGCGGTTCGAAATGGAGCAGTGGCAGTCCGAGCAACTTTTCACCTGCTTCATTCGACCTTTTTTCTCGGTGAAGTGAAGTTTCGGTGAAATTCTGGTTCGTTCGTTACAGATTGTAAAGTTTATCCTACTCGTACGCTCTTTGTAATAATTTATCGATAATGTTGTTTGTGAATGTTTCGTTACTTCTTAATTTTTGAATGGAGAAATAGGTACGTAAACGAAGTACCGTGATTATAAGGAATTTTAAAAGGGAAATTCTGTTATACCGTAAGATACCTGCGATTGAGAACCACTTTCTAATGAATGTGCCAGAGGTGTCAGAGCAGCAACTGTCAAAACACGACCGGCAAGACGACCGTGCCATCCAGTGTGCGACAGAGACGGAGAGAGAGGAGGAACGAGAGCAGAGACGGAACGGTCCTTTTCACGCCATATTGGGGGATGTACTACCTTGAAATAGGTACTACACGGAACCGATGTGTATCGATAATCGTGACATTCATCCTTTCATTCTTCCCATGCACGTAAATTCTTCCGCGATACGCGACGACGTCGGGAATGAGGCATTGTTCACGGTGCGTGTTTTGTTGCACAACGGTTTCCCCGCCTTCCGCTCGTTGAATTGCAGACGATGCTTATCAAGAAGGCCAGCGCACGCCTGTGTGTGTAGTCTTTTTTTCTTTTTTTTTTTAAGGAACGAGCAGAAACCAGGAATTAATAGCTCGTCATCGTTTAACGCTTAGCTAACAACACGTCGTGTAATATTCGCGGATGGAAGGTTCAGTGTGTTGGTATGAGCATCAAAGCTATATACACACACACGTAAGTCCTCGTTTCCCCGACATGATACCGTAATTGATCCTCGATCGAATCGTGTAATTACGCGTATTACAAAATGAATTATTCCGTGAAAGGATTGAAATTCTTTTCTCCTATATTTCACTCGCGGCGTATTCGGCAGAACGTGTCCATCGATTATCAAGAGGCGCGTTCGTGATCAACGCGTTACGCGACGATTAGCTCTCTCGAAGTTCGCCCTCTAAACACATTTCGCTCAATGACCAGTTTCAATTACGGCAACTTCATCCAAGTAATTTAACAACTCGCCGGCGAAACGCTCCAGCCGCGGAGAGGAATATCTCTCCATTCCCGGTGCCCCCTAACGACTCCATCTTCCAGCGAGGAATCCACCCAGCTGTCGAGAACTTTCGCTCAGCAGCAGCCAGCAGCAGCAGAAGCAGCAGAGAGTGAGAGAATAAGCGAGGGTGGGAGAAAGATAGAATCGCGCGTATACAGAGTACGAATCAGTGAGAACCACCACCGACGACTGGGGTGAAGTGAAATAGAGAAAGAGGGAACGTGGATCACCGGAGGAAAGGCAACGCGCGAGTAGGCGCGCGAGAGTGGAAGGGTGAGTACAGAGAGAGAGAGAGAGAGAGGGAGTGAGGAAGGGTGAGAAAGAGAGGGGAAGAGGAAGTGGTCGCATGTGGAAGCATCACAGCAGGCAGAGGCACACAGGGTGGAGTCGACGACTACGAGGACGGTTAGGCGTGCGCTCTGGGCATATCGGCTTTTTCGAGAGTCTTGGTCGATGTTCCTGGTTCCTGGTTAACCCGCGGGATCGGTTACAAGGCAACCCGGCCAGCCGATTGGTCCATTTTGTCAGCGACACCCGCCCACGCCACGTTATCGCGCACCAACTCTCTCTTTCTCTCTACCTCCTCTTCTGCTGCTCTCTTTCTCGCGTCCCCTTTTCCCTCTTCTGCCGACCCTTTCTCCGCTTCCTCTTTTCCTCTATCACGCTGTCGAATCTCTCCTACTCTGTTTCTCTGGCTGCTGCAGAGTCGTGTCGATAACCTTCCTACGCCGCCCGATCTCTCCTCCCTTCCTCCCGCTCCTTCTCTTTCTATCACTCCCTCTTTTCATCCTCGCTTCGTACACTTTCAGTCCCTCTATATATACCAGTGCTGTGCGAGGATATATTCCCACCTCTCTCTCTCTCTCTTCACTTCGCCTCTCGTCGCCGCCTTCCTTCGAAGTCGACGCATTGACCTTCGACGAAAAAAGGATCCGTGTGTTTCGAATGCGACTTCGTCTTCTTCTACGGGTTCGTTAACAGGAAGCCCCGTGACTCTGCGAATTCAACGGGTGTACCGTGGGGAAGGGAAGAGAAGCGCGTCTCGCGCCGTTTAAATTGTGGGAAGGACGCGGCGGCGGCGTCTCTCGGCCACCTGAATTGCCGTCTCTTCTTCACCTCCACACCTAACATCTCTGCCTCTTTCACTCTTACAACCGTAGTTTCCACGTCTCTTTCTCGTACACCGGGGGAAGTTATTTTAATTGTTTCACCGCCGCGACAGACCGCGCGAACCCGTCAGATAACGACGAAAGGGCGCGCCTGGCCTGAATTAGCCCAACTCGTGGAAATAGCGATATTAGTAGATAGAAATTGACGCGCGGGAGAATTGTTTGAACCGCGTGGAGCATTGGAAACGCGACAAACTCGAACGTATAATTGCCCCCCACCCCCCCTTCGCCCCGTGAACGAACCGCATGATTTTAACGCGTTCGTTAATTATCCCCGGACGAATTTCCACGGAGATCGGACGACGGTGGTGATGATTTCGATCGTTAGTTGTTAATTCGTTTACCTGGGAATATCATGGAAATTATAGTGTTACCATATGAATATATTTAACGATGATGTTCAGGGTGGTAGTAGAACGATAAATTGAAGACTCGTAATCGTTTTTGTTGTAATTGTCATAATAATCTGTTAATATATTTTCGCGTGAATGTATGTACAGGCGCAAATAAAAGGCTTTTTACGTAAGGTACCTATGTATACGTGGATCGTAGTTATGTTCATATTTATAAGGGGTTCAAGGGGGGAGTGGGGCAGGGTCGATTATACAAGAAATTCGCTAACGTGTGTTGTGTTCGTGTGTGTATATCTACAAAGAGAGAGGGGAAACGCGAACACCGTGTGCTCGCACGGTTACTTCATCTCCATCTTCGTCGTCTTCTTTCTTCGTGTATCATTCAACCGTAACAAGGCTCGAGAGAGAATCGATCGATCGCTGTACTCTGTCACACGATAATCGTCGTCTATCGAGCCTACGGGAACGCTCTCAAAGCATTCTCTTACTCTCGGAGTAAAACGATTTCGTCAATGGACCGTGTCGATTGAGGAAATTTACAAATCGCTAATCTCTACTTAAGCTAAAAAGGGGGGGTTTAGGGAGGGAGTTTCTCGCGGAGTATCTTAAATTAATTTCGACCGGTGCTCGTGGTTTTCTTCACATATAAGACGACTGGCTTTTCTTCAATTCTGCGACATCAGAAGATGATACGAACGGAACGTTGGATTTCGTCGAGTCGCGATACAAAGTCGTTTTTCAGTTCGATAAGGATAACGATTTGTTTTTCTGTTGATTTTTTGCCGATCGAATTGTTGTAACGAGAAAAGAAAGGCCCTCGGATCGTCGAGGAATTTATCGAACGTACAGCGTTCTTACTTCCGAAGCTCGGCCTCAGTCTATGTTTAGGCCGTTCGTACTGTCTACATCCTTCGCGTTAACATTCTTTTCTTGTTTTTCTCACATTCGAGTTTGGAGGCTTTTTAAATAGCTCATGCAGCACGCAAGTTCGAAGTGACGACGAACAGTTTTCCTCTCGGCAACGATATTACACCGAACAACGTCATTTTTTTCTCATTTTGTTACCGAAAGCATCGCTATGTACAGACTACGAGAGAAAACGAGAGAAGGAAAAAAAAAAAGGAAAAAGGACAAGGAAGAGAGAGTGAAAAAAGAACACCGTTACACTGTGAGTTCGTTTAGCCTCGAAGCGGATCGATCCCCGCGCTCGGTTTTTCGTTCAACGAAAATTGTGTCCCACGTTCGTGATCATCGTTCCCCCGGATGTTGCAGCTATTTACACGCGACGATCACAACTCGCATCTCTCTTCTTCTTTTTTTTTTTCTTTTTTTCCGGATTTTTCTCTTTCTCTCGACCTTCAGAAATTGCACTCGTCCGCTCGTGTGTTGCGATCTATCCCCCAACGACGCACCGTCGTCAGCTAGAAAAATCTTTCTTCTATACATCGGATACAACGAGCGTTCTTCTTCCTTCTCTTTAAAAGAACTCCTTTAAAACGTTTTTAGAAAACGTTCCTCCCGTTTAATAATTCAGTCACTTGGCAACAGAAACAAAGTTCTACGCGAACTTCGGCAACGTCATCTCTTCACGGTGAAAAAAAGTTCATGTGATTTACATCATTCAAGATTCTATCCGTGAATAATTATTATTTCTCCTGTATTTCGTTCGAGCTTCGAGCGCGCTTCGACCTCTCGATTATACTTTTCCACACGTAATCACTCTCTCTCTCTTTTTCACAAGACTTCGAAGCGTTTCTCGAAAAATTGCTGCTCGTCGCTGCTGATTTTCCTCGATACCAAAGATCGATTTTCCTCTGATTCCACCGAAATGATCTCCGTCGATTCCTCGTCCTTGTCGTATCACGCCGGCGAGAAAGGTCTGTGAATCTGCGGTGGTTTCGGATTCGGCGGAGGTGTCGCGACCCTTATCAATCCCTGGCCTTGAGACTGACCCTGAGGAGTCTGCTGACTGGATGGAGGACTGCCTCGCGAGGAAGGCGTGTGCGGGCTTGGTACAGCAACCCTTAGCGGACCCGTCACAGACAGGTTCGTCGCCATTAATGGCGGGCTGTGTGCTTCCGATAGGCTGTCCGACAGACGCGAGATCCCTCCGTCGGAAAGTCGCGAGGCTTCTGATATCCTCGACATTCCTTCCGGCAGTTGATGCTGAACGTGCGGATGATGGAGCAAACCTTCGTGCGGGTGCAACCTCGGTGGTGGTAGTCCTAGAGGATCTGGCAGTCTGGAAGGGAAAAGTGCAATTTGAAAATGGAAGTTTCTTTCTTTTTTTTTTTAGGAGTTATTTTTTGGGGGTTTTATATAAATGTGTGATTTGTTGTCTTATTTATATTTTTTTTATAGTTGGCGAATAAAATTAGTGCAAAGGTGATTTTACGTTAATCGGCAAAGTGGTTTTCTTTTCTTCTGGAAAATTGAATTTTGGCAATTTTGCAGAGCTATCGTTGGAACGACGATATTAATTCTTTGGGTTTAGAATAGAGAGATTGGAAAGTTTCGTTATCTTCTGAGAAATTCAGTTTTTGCAGTTGAATTGATTTATCGTTGAAACGACGATATTAACCCTTTGGGTTTAGAATAGAGAGATTGGAAAGTCTTATTATCTTCTGAACAATTGAATTTTTGCAGATTTATCATTGGGAGGACGATATCAACTCTTTGGCTTTAGAATAGAGAGATTGGAAAGTCTTATTATCTTCTGAAAAATTCAATTTTTGCAGTTTAATTGATTTATCGTTGGAAATACGGTATTAACCCTTTCGGTTTAGAACAGAGAGATTGGAAAGTGTTATCACTATAGTCGTGTATAGTTAGATGTTCAGCAGTGAATTTTAACACATTCGAATAAGTATATTAATTTTTGTATCATTTATATTCTAAGAAATTTTGTTTCTTAATAATTGTTCCACTAATACGATCTAAAATTTTATCTTATTAATTTTCGCAACGGAAAATTTTCGCGTTCTTCACACGTATAATTAGCGAGCACGGTATTAATCACTTGCTATCGAGAGATCCTTATTTCATTACCAATATCTTTTTACAATCCTTACGGACAGCACACAGATGCGATTAACCCTTTCGCTACGACCGTCTCTGTCGACAAACAGAGACGTGTGCATTACGCAGCTGCGCTGCTATATACTTTTGTCCGTTTACATACTAAATAATCTAATTTAACATCCAAACATAAATAAAAAAAATTTTATTTTCACGATACAAAAACACCTGCTTAATCAACAAATTTTCCAAAATGTCGTACGAGACGGTATTTGCACGTAGTACGGCAGTTACTATTCCACAACGAATGGCTACGGTAAAATGCGACAATACACCGAGATAGATCAGTTCGTAACGAGAAACTGTACTCGTTCGTAATAGCGAAAGGGTTAAAAATTGGGGAAAATTCAAGTTCTCGTTTCTCGTGGAGGGAAAGTGTAAGAAACTACTACGGAGTTATTCCTCTAATATCCATCGAACGTAAGTACGACAAAGGAGGAGGTTTTTAAAATCTACTCACCTCGATCCAAGATCACCTCTGGGCCCCACAGCTTGGAACGGGCTCGTTTCCGTCAGCCTGAAGATTCCACCGCCCGAGATGTTCGGATGATTGTGTTGCGGGCTGTGCGGTCCAAACCGGAAGCCCGTCGGCGGGAATTTGAAGGCCGTCGCGTGGTTGAATCGAAACTGCGATTGCGAAGGATCGAAGCGGAAATTTAAGGACGGTGGAGGTAGAGGTCCAAGGGGCCCGAGAGGAACAGGAGATGGTTGATGAGTTGGCGGAGGCGAGGAACTCGGTGACGGTGGCGATGTTCCGCCTAGCGAGATATCAGAGTCCTCCGAATCGCTGCCGCCTGGCCCGGGACTCAGGGCGCGGCGTGTATTCCCGTTTCCTGTGCCGGATTGCTGTTGCATTCTGAAACATAACGCAATAGGAGGAACGTTAATTTTTTTGCCTATTGTAAAGGTTGCGTTAATTGTAAATTTTGCGAAATTTACTATTAAATAGTTTATTTGAGTGTACGAACACCCGTTATAGTACGTGATATATGTTACAAATGGAAGGGTTAAAAAGAAAAAATTAAAGAAAGCGAGAAGAATGAGAATTGATAGGATGCTGGAAGAGAAATCAGAAGAATTGAATAAGGAGAATAGTAACAATGTAAAATCAGAAGAATTAAATAAGGGGAATGAAGAAAAGACTGTAACGAAGTTTTTTTTTCTATCGCAAATGTAGCTAAATGATGAACTTAACACAGAGGAGTTACTTGAGAAAGAGAAGAAATTTTTCGTAGAATTCTCTCCAAGTCTTCCACAAATTTCAAAATCATCCACTACACTGTCCATAATTAACATTTATCTAATTTAATTAACTAATCAACGCACTTTTTTATTTCACCAAAAATCTATTAAACCCACTGTTTAGGCCGCATATTTATGCATTGTGATCCATAAATGCTATGTGATCCAATTTGTGTTTTACAGTGTTTCTTGTGTAAACCATTTGTAAGTTTTTACTAATGGGATCACACTTTTATTTTTACAATTTGCGCCTTAGGTAACGTGTTTCAAGACTTTTTCTCTGACTTCATCGGTGCATTTCACACTCTCGTGTAATTAACTCTCTTCTCCTCGCGATTTTAAACGAGGTTGCCCGTTCATTGTTAAATAAACAAAGACGATTTTCGTCGTTCCTTCGAGGATCGGTTACTCGAGCATGCATCTCCCGTCGAAGGGTCAACTAGCCGAGGTCGCGGCTGTTCATTGGTGTAACAAGTCGGCCGGAGCACTGTCGCAGAGAGGAATTGTACGCGTAGGCGAGTAGGATCGCGATGAGAATTTCCAATTCGTTCCCTAGTCGCGAGGACTAGCTGAACGTGGATTGTACACACACGCGGCACTGAAAACACTTTGTTTCCAGTCATCGCCGCGGAGCGGTTATAATTAATGAGCGGGCTCATCCTTCCCAGGTGAGCAAGGATTCACGGGAGAGTAACGACGATTCCCGGCGACGACGGTTCGTACAAAAGGAGGATCCACCTCATTACTCGAGAGATCACGGATAGATACAGAAACGCCTCGCGAACTTCTCACGCGACTCATCCTCTCGCGGTCAGAGATAAATGACGAACGGTCGTGGCGCGATCGGAACGGATGTCCCGACTTGTCGACAGGAAAGTATTATTCACCACGCCACCCACGAGCGACTTTCAAACACGTCGTGCAAGGACATTCGTCGAGAATTATAATTTTTCCTTGGATTTCTTCTTCGTTCCAAGATCCGTAGGAATATATCGAATGGAGAGAAAGAAGAGAAGAGGAGAGAAGAGAATGAAAAATGCAAACACCTGGGGGGGAACTTGGGTGAAAATAATTTTTCTCTTCGCCGTAATCGTATAAGAGGAGAGAGGAAAAACACACGGTGAAGAAAGAAGAATCGCACTGGTAAGAAGTGAAAGAAACGTTTCCTCTCTCGATCGAGTATTAAGAGAAAGGAGAATCATTCGCTAGTCTGCCAGAGACAATGAGATGTTGTGGTCGCCTTAAAAGCCTCTTCGCTCCAGATCGATTCAACGCCTCGGCTCCTCAGATACTCCCGTATTTTCTTTGCTAATCGAGTTTCGAGCCCACACTGTTACCACGGTAACACCTCGAGTGATTTCGAACAGGTTCGCCGCCCGCTTGAACGAGAATCGCCCGATGCTTCCTCATCCTCCAAAAGGAGGAGGAGATCGCTAGAAGCCGCGAAGCTGATTCACCCTCCTGTTCAGTTTTCGTGCGTGTCTCGCGGCACACTTTCATAGGATACTCTTATTCCGTATCAATTTTTATTTTATTTCAATCTTCCGAGAGAGGAGTATTCAACTGTTAAATGTTTACTGTGGACAGCTTGTGATTAGTATTACTGCGAATACAACTATTTGCATATTGCACACTAGGGCTGTTACGAAAATCCGAATTATTCGGATTATTCAAATTTTACGAATAAAGAGTTCGTATTCGAAACTATTCAAATTATTCAAATAGTTCCACTATACAAAGTTTCATAATTCTAATTACTCGAATTGTCCAAATAAAGAATTCGCATTCGAAATTATCCAAATTATTCAAATAGTTCGACTATTCAAAGTTTCATAACTCGGGTTATCCGAATTATTCGGATTATTCAAATTTTCCGAATAAAGAGTTCGTATTCGAAATTATTCAAATTATTCAAATAGTTCCACTATACAAAGTTTCATAATTCTAATTACTCGAATTGTCCAAATAAAGAATTCGCATTCGAAATTATCCAAATTATTCAAATAGTTCCACTATACACAGTTTCGTAATTCTAATTATTCAAATTTTCCAAATAAAGAATTCGTATTCGAAATTATCCAAATTATCCAAATAGTTCGATTATGCAAAGTTTCATAATTCGGATTATTCAAATTTTCCGAATAAAGAATTCGTATTCGAAATTATCCAAATTATTCAAATAGTTCCACTATACAAAGTTTCATAATTCTAATTACTCGAATTGTCCAAATAAAGAATTCGTATTCGAAATTATCCAAATTATCCAAATAGTTCGATTATGCAAAGTTTCATAATTCGGATTATCAGAATTACTCAGATTGTCCAAATAAAGAATTCATACTCAAAATTATCCAAATGATTCCAAGAGTTGAACAATTCAAAGTTTCACAGCTCCTCTGCATACCTTAAGCAGAATTGACGAATCACATTAACCCTTTCGCTGCGACAAATTTTGGCAGATAACGCGTATGGCAGACGATAGTTATTCAACCACGGTCGTAAAATCTTTTATTTCGCCCGTACCGTTTAAGAATTTCTTTTATTAAATGAAACTAGAAATTCGCAAAAAATAAAATTAAGGATTAAATCAAAGTGGAAGTGCAGCAAAAGTCTCCAATAGTACAATGCGATCAAATTTTCAGGCCTCAACAGCAACGAAAGGATTACACCAAAGCTACATTTGTACACCTTTTTCATTCCATAAAAATAAACCAGATAGATAAAACGTTTCTATTCATTTCACCAAAAATAGAAAGAAAAGAAAAAACCATTCACGATCTATCACGATGTAATCGTACTTCCTCTTTTAGCCCCTTGCCACGCGAACTTCTATAAATTCGACATTTCCCCTCCACTCGCTGTAAATAGAAATATATAACGAGACGTCAATTTCCCTGACGAAGGTATGAAAGCGATTTATTCGATTCCAAGGAACGTGGGCATAGAATAAGAACGTAAGGGCGGTAGCCGTGACGCGATTCGAGCAGAGGCCACTCTCACGTGGACCTGTCTGAAACGCGTTGGACACGGTAATCGAACCCGTACCTCCCCTTCCACCACCCTTTCCATCCTTCTTCGTCTTACAACACACACACACACACACACACGTGTACTCTCTGTGGTTCCTTTTTTCAACGTGTCTCGCATCAACGGGACACTCGACGCGTTTTAATTATGCCTCAAGACCGCTCCTCTTTGTCTTGGCCCTTTCACGAGACACCCGCACGAGCGGCGCGACTTATTATGTGCCAGCCTCTCCCGTTTTGTTCCACTTAGTGCTCGTCCACCGATCGTTGTCCCTATTCAAAGCGTCTTAATGTCGTGGCATTAAAGTGCGGAGGCTCGAGCTTACGGTGTCAATTTTTCACCGTGAATACACCGCGGGACCGGCATTAATTCGTCTGATTCTTTGCGCGGCCGAAACTACTCGCTCTGATCAACGATTTCTGCCTCGACAAATGTTCCTTGCGTTCCTTTTTCCTTTTCTTTTTCGTTTCGTATAGGTAGTTTATGGGGACGGTCGTCTGTATGATACGAATTAGAGAAATCTGACGAATGTGTCGCGGAGAAATTGGAGTGTCTAAGTTTGATTAGTACAGAATGATGGCTTATAGGGAATATTCTGAAGTGATGATTATCGATTTTGTTGAAATTTTGGTGTTTGGTAGTATTCCAAATTTTTATCGGCAATCGTGTATATCGAAGGGGTGAAAATTACCTCTTTTTTAAATTTATATTTATCAATGTTTTTTTGTTGAAAAATACAAAATTCGTCAATTTACACTGTTCCTCTAATCATTTTCGAGATATCAGACTAAATAATTTACTACCTCCAACTTCGAGGGTGATTTTCATTCCTTCACTGTGGTCGATTACCGATACAAAAAAACACGTGTCGAATATTTTTTCCAGAACTACTATATACCAAAGTTTCACGAAAATCGGTGATTGTCACTTGCAAATATATATTTACTACCTCCAACTTTTAGGGCGATCTTCACCCCTTCACTGTGGACGATTGCCGACATAAAAAAACACGTGTCGAATATTTTTCTGAGCATTACTACACACCAAAGTTTCATCAAAATTGGCGATCATCGCTTAGAGATGTTCCCCTGCGCCCAGCCTAAATCTACTTTTTCACGTGAAAAACGAGCGACGCGAAGGAATTTCGACACCGGTGTCCCATTTCGAAACGCAAATTCCGTACGAATAATTACGAAAGCAAGAAAAATCAGCGGAGCGGTATAAGCCGCGTATCAAACCGTGCCTCTCGTCCAAGTTGTTTCCGCGGTTAACGAGGGATATCGGCGGTGTTCACGGTTCGTCCGCTCGTTAAACTCAACGAGCCCGCGATGAAAAAGGGCCACGGCGCGGTTCCAGACGAATTTCCAACGAGCTACAGCCTTTCTTTCTTTCCTTTTCCTTCCTTTTTTCCCTCTTTCTCTCTCTTCATCGCCGGTTAATATATTCGCCGGCGCGTGCACGCGTACCGACCAGGGTGTGCGTATCCGCGTGGCGAATCGTGCAGACCGCGTCGAAAACAGAGAGAAACGAGGCCTATCACAGGTGACGCGGTAAGTTTTCGGTGCCGTGTGGGCATGATTAAAAAAG